TGAACCAAGTTTGGTGGAGAGAGATATGACATTCTGCTCTCATTTGGGGATTTCTGTTAAAATTCCATATGTTGCTCCTAGGCTAAGCTCATTCAACTTCTGTTTCCAGCTTTTGAATCTTGTACCTTTGCTCAAGTAAAGTGCCTTTATTGTATGTACTATTCTGCTGCATATAGGGCTACAGTGACCTAATTCATCCCTGCACATTTCTCTTTTGAAGTTATATTGACTGAGTTTCCAGAGTAATTTTTTTCAATTCTTCAACCACAATTGTGATATTTCCCTGAACCATCATCTTCCTCAGCATCTTTTGTGAACAGCTTTCCCCCATTAGTCATACCGATGCCAAAGACAGAGGCAGTCTTTCATTTCCAGCTCCTTGCATCCCTGTTTATACACATGCCTCGGTATTGCCAGAAGTAAAACGGTAACAGGCTGGCCCAGGATCCCATGGGAATGCCTGAACTTTTTGATCTCCAGTGGCACAGCAAACTGACTCCTGCACAGTGAAGAAATTAGTTCCTTCCTTACTATTCATGTAAAGGAGTTTGCCCAAGTCCAATACCATGTGTAAACACTAAGGCGCTTGAACCACTGCTGCAATACCTGCTAAGGACCCAGAAGCTTTGGCTGTGCCCTGCAGGGAGAGGCTGTGATTGTTCTAACAGGTTTGCAGTTTTTGCATGGGTCATGTGCAGTGGTTCAGAGGCAAGGTGTGGGCAATGTATCAGGCTATTGATGTGGTTTATACCACAGATACTTCCTGACCTTAAGGGGCTTATAGCCACTACTGACAGGTCTTGTAAAAGCTGGTGGGGAGAGGAAGCAAAGAGTAGGACTCTTACCTGAACTGAATTTTCCAGAACATGTCTTCTAGCACATGGGAACATTCTGTCTGTCCTAGGATGAAATATTTTGTGTCGCTCCAGCTCTGGTGACCGAAATGAGGTATTTTTGGAGGCACAACAGGGAACTATTATCCTGTAATACTGTCTGTGATACTTTCCTTAGTGCACCTTTACTAGCCTATCAAGGAGCTCAGTCCCAGAAAGAGGGTGTAGATGAGAAAAGTTTGACACGTCTTTAGCTTTTTCTCCAGGAGCTGGTGTGCACAGGAACATGATACTTATTGAATAATCCATGCAGGAAGCCTGAATACATTAGAAGAGTGAAAATACATGACATCCTCACTCCCTGCATGCGTTGGAGGGTGATTAATTCATTTAATTACGCAGCTTGCTGCAAGGTGGGCGGGGGTCTGGTCTGTGGCACAAACGTTCTGCTGAGCATTTAATAGACTTGTGATGTAAGTGTCAGAGTCGCATGCCTCAGAGTGACTTCTGGATGCAGTCAAATGCAGAAAGAAACTTTCCTGTTGGAGTCTGGGTTTCTTAACACGTATCAGGGTCACAAAATGAAATAACACTTACCTGCTTGATGCTAAGGATGTTTTTAAGTAATAAAATGTGTGGCAAGGGTATGGCACTCTGTCTGTGAGCCCTGGAAATGATCTCTCCACCTGCCAAAGTCAGCATAAATCAGGATGAGGGGAAAGAAGTGCTTTGCTGGGCTTTTCTGCAAAGAAAAGATTCTGAGTGGGGGTTGTGACATCCAGCAGTAAAAAATGCAGTAGAAATTAATAGAATTGCATCTTAATTGGGGGGGGAGGGAGGGGAACAAAATACTCCAACGGACAATGAGAAACATACTGCTCTTGTTCAGCTGTCTCACTGACCATCAGTAAGCGGCTCTGTCAGATGCACAGTCCCATAGTGAGAGGCAGATTAAGTGACGGCTGAGACTAACAAGCTGGTTTTAAGTAGTTTGGTACATCTCAATAGGTGCTGAACTGTATGAGACAACAGCCAAATGCTGTGCCTGCAGATTAGAAGCTTGGGAAGAATTCTTCTGAATAAAACAAGGGGAATAAAAAGTAGCTTGTGTTCAGGGTATGATAGTAGGAGGCTGGGAAGCTGCAGCTGGCAACATTGAAGGCTGTGCCTGTTGGTTTTTTGATGATCAAAGGCTTTGACAGGATTACCTGATGTGTTTATCCAGTCCCTGTTTCTAAGAAAGTACTTGGCATTTTACAAGCAGGTACAAAGTTAAAGGCTCTTCCCCAGAAGTTAGTATTATGTGAGCAACCCCATGCATTTTCTAGGCCTCCATCCCCACCTCTCACCTGCTACTCTTTTGTCTACTGGGAACGGCAAGGTATTTTTTTTTTTCTATTCTACAGCTGGGGAAATGTGGTGGAAATTGGGTGTGGTGGACCAGGCAGCTGCTGTAACCAGGACAATGTAAACAGAGTGACAGTCTATTTATCTTTGCTATCTGCTTCCTCAGAGGCTACTTGGATTGTTGTCTGTACCTAAGTCAAAACACTCAGAGCATTCACTGGTGAGCTCAGCTCGCTCTGGATAAGACATGAAAAGCTTACCACTTTCCAATTCTGGATAGCTGGGTCTTACCTAAGCAACAGGAAGCGTTTTAATCTTTCATTTTCACCACATAAGGGACTACTCAATGCTGAGGCCCCACACGTATTACCCACCCATCATTTGTCCCACCCAGGGCAAGTCGTGCTACAGAGTCTAGGCTTCACTTACAATTGTCCTTGTGCCAGGCTGGTCACTCCGGGACCCTAGACACAGCCCTCATCTTGAAGTGGTAGGGGGAAACAGGAGCCTTTCAGAGTTCCAGCTGGATGTATGCTATGGTAGAAGAGGTTTCTATAGTCTGCTTTCCAGGCCTTAGACCAATAGGGATGGGAAGAGCCCCGTTAAGTCCAAATGAATATGTCTTTTCAGGGAGATTCTCCTGTATGCTTTTAGGATAAAGTACTGGTTTTAATACAAGGCTGCTAGAGAGAGAGGGTATATTTTCTGTAAGTTTCCCATGCTTGCAACCTAAGCATAGCCAAATTTGAGCTGTAACTAGCCCTAACTCACCTTTTAACTACAATGCCTTCTTTTCTTCTCTTTTTGGTTTCTAAAGCCAGCACTAGCCCTACATCAGGCCTTGGGACTGCTGCCATTGTAGGCATTCTCATTGTTATCTTTGTGCTGCTCCTGGTGGCTGTGGATGTTACCTGCTACTTCCTGAACAAGTGTGGCCTGCTGATGTGCATTGCTGTGAACTTATGCGGCAAATCCGGCCCAGGAGCCAAGGGCAAAGACATGGAGGAGGGCAAAGCTGCCTTCTCGTGAGTACTGTCATCACTTATATTGCTTCTTGGGTTGATCGGTGTGTCCCCTCAGCAACTCTGGAAAAGAAACAGTTTTAGGGAGTTCTGGGTTCCTCATCTCTGATGGGAGGGTACTGAAAAGATCTGGGGACACTCTGGTTCTGCTTTATATTTACAGGAAGGGGTTTCTTCAGCTCTTTTTATGTTTTTGTCCTATTCCTGTTAGTAGCCATCAAAAAACTGGCCCAAATGCTGGACATCACAGTGGTTTTCTGTGCTGTAGGCAGTAACTGGAAGGAGGAGTGACAAAAAGAAGTAATCTGCTGTTTAGGCCAGTCTGTTTCTGTCATTCACTATAAATATTTGCAGCATGTATTTGCAGGGGGATACCGAGTGTGAACGGGAATGAATCTCCATGCATTTCCCTTGTTACAGGAAAGATGAGTCCAAGGAGCCTATTGTGGAGGTACGGACTGAAGAGGAGCGGACCCCCAACCACGATGGGGGAAAACTCACAGAGCCCAATGAGACCACCCCGCTGACGGAGCCAGAGTATGTTGATATTACTCAATCTTAGTACAGGGTCAATACATTGCCCTCAGTTGCCTTAATCCCTGATCTCTTGTGCCCACGACTTAAGGCAGGAAGAGAGGAAGGAAAGGTAAAATCTCCACACTCCATTTGTGACATACTAGTGAACAAATGCCTCCTCTCTTCCCCAAGATTCAATGACTCCTATTTCCAGCACTGGAATGGGAGTAAAGCAATGTATCTTGAAAGGCCTGTCTCTGCCAGTCCTGCCCAGTGTGTAGATCAGGCACCTGTCCAGGAATCACTGCAAAGGATCCAGAGCAAAAGCGGCCCTCAGCTAGTGCCATCTCCTGCTTGAGCTCTGCCCTAGCAATGCTGGATGAGTACTTGAATGCCCCAATGGTGAAAGCAGTCCTGTCCATTTGATAACAGGAGTGTAGCTATGCTCTGGATGTTGGGAGAGGCATGGCAAGTCTGATTATTCTGTGAGAGGGCTGAGAGCTACCTATCAGCTTTTTTTATATTGGAGAACTTGTTTGGGGCCCGAGTCTGTGAATCCATGTTAGCTGAGATTGGCAAGATTTAAGTACTGCTCACTGTCTGCATTAAGCTCTTTTCTAAACTGTCGCAGTTCTAGTGTCCTCTGAGTACTCCTCCATAGCTTCTGGAGTAGTAATGGGAGGAATTTACTTTAGGAAGCCTCTGAAATGCTTGTTAATATTTAGGTCAGGTTTGGGGTTGATGACACAAGTTGGGTTCCTTTTGTTCAGCAGAGTCATCACAGTGGTGAGGTGGTCAGGTTCTGCCACCTGCATACAGCTCACCTCCTTTGATAAGGTTAGATGTGGGGCCCACTGGTAAAGTGGCTCTGCTGGGAGTATCTGTGAAGTGAGAGGAGAAAGGAAGCTATGTCCACAGGCAGCACTGAAATGTGGACACGCAGCACTGAGGAATAGCTAGGATTTAGATTGTCCTGATTTTCTTGGCTAGTCTTACCAGAGTTTTAACTCAATTATCCGCCTCTGTGAAGGTTTTCTCTCTGTTGATAAGCCTGAGATGGTGTTCTCAGGCACACTGGCCTCTCATGGAATAAACCGTTTGTTTTTCCAGCCTCGCATCTATGCACTTGTTAAGGCAACCAGTGCTACATCATGGCTGCTAAAGTGTAGTTACATTTTCAGACATTGTCCTAAAGCAAACCTTATTCAAGCTAACACAATAGCCTGGAATCTGGTCAAAAGGGAAGAAAACATCACCTCAAAACTGCATGTATACATTACATGTGTGTGTGGTTTGATGAAGGCCTTAGACTTGCAGGCAAAAGGACAGGGCCAAGATGAGGGACTGGATTCCGGGGGTCCTACACTGGGACCTTGTTATGTGGTGACAGACTGCACAGGGCTGCAAGCTCAGGGAGTTGATAGGAAGCTTCCTTGTGAGGGTAGGTGGAAGAGGCTGAGAGGAAAGTTAGACTAAAAGAGAAGCGTCTCTCTAAGTTGACAGGGTTACATTTGGCAAGGCTTGAACCAAAATCTGCATGAGCAAGCCATTCCTGAAGGACGTGTCCTCTTTGCTCTGTTTCTCTTCCTCATTATTCTTCAGTCATCCCAGCCAACTCTTGCTACCCTTCACACATTTGACCTCTGAAAGGTTTCTGCTCCTCTGAGGACCTCTCCATGTTCTGTATATGTTGTAACTACACGCCATGCTGCTGCTCCACCACCACCTGCCTTCTCACTCTTATGCTTTTCTCCCCTTTCCCCTGCTGTCATTTACAGTCTTCATTGTCTCTATTTCTCTTCTACTCCTGTCCTCTTCACAGGCACCCCACCGATACCGCAGCTACTGTTGAGGACATGCTGCCTTCCGTAACTACGGGCACCACTAACTCTGACACTATCACTGAAACCTTTGCCACTGCTCAGAACAGCCCCACCAGCGAGACTACTACACTGACCTCCAGTATTGCCCTGCCAGCCACGGCCATTCCTGACTCAAACTCCATGTTGCCTGGCCAGGCTACTCCAGCCAAAGGGGCAGCCACCTCAGTCTCTTCACCACCACCCTCCTCCACCCCCAAAGTGGCCCCCCTTGTTGATCTCAGCGATACCCCAAGCTCTACTCCAGCTACTAATAATTTATCTTCAAGTGTCCTGTCCAACCAAGGCGCAGTGCTTAGCCCCAGTGCTGTTGCTAATGTGGCTGAGACCTCCAAAGTGGCAGCTGGTAACAAGCCAGCTGCCCCAAGCCCTGCAAACCTCACTAGCCCTTCAGCTCCATCAGAGCCCAAGCAGGAGGTCTCAAGCACCAAGAGCCCTGAAAAGGAAGCTGTGCAGCCCAGTACAGTGAAGAGCCCAACAGAGACAACCAAGAACCCAAGCAACCTGAAGAGTGAGGCTGCTTCAGGCAGCACCACAAACCCCTCGCAGAATGAGGACTTTAAAATGGACGAAGGGACCTTCAAGACACCAGACATTGATCTTGCAAAGGATGTTTTTGCAGCTCTTGGCACTACTACTCCTGCCAGTGTGACTAGCGGGCAAGCTCATGAGCTTGTTTCTTCTACTGCAGACAGCTCTGTACCTGCTGCACCTGCAAAGACCGAGTATGGCTGCCTTTAATCTTCTGTTGTTTGTGTGCTGTGTCTCTTGTGCACTGGTGCTTGTGCTGTGTTCTTGTTGGGTGTTCTCTTAACTAATCTCATTGTTTCCTTAGCAAACTAACTTACCTGTGAACCAAGTAAACAGTGCTTGGCTTTAAAGGTCCAGGAGGAAAGCAGGAATAGTCTGTGCCAGTGAAGCAGAGAGAAGACAAACCCAGGAATTTGTCATAAAAGCATTATTTTTTAGACTTTTATGCAGCTTTGCCTATTGTAGGTTATTCTTTTATGAAAGAGATCAGAAACCGTTCAGTTTGATGCAAAGAAAGTGCTGTCCTCAGAGGCCCTGAGTTCCTGCAGTTTAATGAGCACAGCCACCCAAATTCAATTTTCTAACAGATCAGTGCAGCCCTTCAGAACTTATTTCAGTGTAGAGCAAGACAGAAACTAGTGCCATGTGAAACTGTAAAAGTATGGTACCTCTGGATTTGTCCCTAAACTGGCAAAAGGATAAGGCAGTGGGATTCTGTCTGAGAGAGGGGGAGCAGTCACAGCACAGTTGGGTCAGGATAACTTGTCAGTGTGTTGTCCTGGTATATTAGAGATGAGTCTCCATCCACTGTACTGAGTCTCCTCTTTACCCATCTGATGTATTCAGAGAGCATCAGCATGCTCCTAGGCAGGACAACCCTAGGGGTCCTTGGAGCCTTATGCCATCTGGACAGGATCCACTTTCCTCAGCTGAGACAAGTCTGCACCTTGTGTTTGGCTGGAGACACTGTAACTGGAGAGTGGAAACAGCATAAAGTTCTCACCTGGGTAGCTTGGGGGAGGGTCCCCAGCTGTTGTGCAAATGTTGAACAAGAACACTCTTGCTGTGTGTCGGTTTGGATGGCAGTTGCTGACAGAGCCATGAGCACAGAAGCCTGGAAAACGCTGATTGAAAATGGATAAGCCACCCTTGAAGAAACAAGTACCTAAGGTCCCTGTTCCTTCTAGCTTCCTATTTGGACTCCATGTGTTGATAGAGGCAGGAGGAAATAGGAGGAGTATCTTGTCTTTCCTGCCTGAGCAGGGTCTATGCTTTATCGTGAGAGAGTCCTGAAAAGGCAGCTCAGATTTCTTGTGAGAGCAGCTCCCAAAACCAAAAGACTGAGTTCACACTGCATCTTTAGCAGTTTCAAAGGAAAGTGTATTGATGACACTGGACTCTGCACTGTCAGCTAGATTGCTGCCAAGAACCTAACTAGCTGTTCTAGAGTAGTTTTACAGCTCGCTCAGACAAATCTAGGCTATGCTATAGCAACCACTCTGGACACATACCCTAAGTCGCAGCTTTGGTTAGAACTTTTTCCATCCCCACATCTCCAGGAAAATTACTTCATTCTGGAAGCTTTTTACTTAATCCAAAATAAAGCATGGCCTTGATCATTGGCTTTGACACTGTGATTGCATGTGTGTTAGCACTCACAGAAGAGCAGTCAGTCAGACACTGTAGAACCAAGAACCAGGCTCTTTTCCAGATCTGAGTGAAAACCCATGCCGGTGTCTTTACATCTCATGGCTCTGGTCTCTCTGCCTCGCTGCTGTGCTCCTTCCTGCTGTGTGACTCTTCCACAGCACTGCCTTGTGCCCTACACAGCTATGGAGCATCTAGCCCTTCCTGGAAAGCCTGGGTGGCGCAGCAGATGCACGAGAGCTGGAGGAAACCAGGCAGCCTTGATGGATGCAGCTGAGCTGCTCCCAAGCAGAGAAATCCATGTTCACTTCACTTCACTGTACCTAAAGCCACTGCCCTGTCATGCTAGGTGCTGTGGAGAGACAAAGAGAATTGTGATCTGGTACTGAGCTGAAAGGAGGCAAGACATGGCTTGCCCATAGTAAGGAAGCATTTCAACTGAATTAATGCAACTTGGTCTGTGTCGTGTAAATGAATTCTTGTTACGGTGGAATGCAGAGCTGTGTTCTTTCCACCAATCCAGTCACCACCTTCTACCTGTGCTGCTTATCTGCTTTCCTTTGGGCAAATCAGTATTGCAACCATAGGCTTAGATTCACCTCTTCTGCTTTTCAGGGTGAGTTAAGATTGCAATCATCTCAGACTAACTTTGTGGCTAATGGGCTGGAACAGGCACTTCTTCAGGGAGGCCACCAGATGTGCCTTCTGAGCACTTTTCATGCCTATGAAGAGTGTGTTGGACAAACAGGCTTCTCTGATTCTTCAGTAAGTGCCAAAAGACAGGCTGATGAACCTGAGCCTGTGAAGATGTTGACCTCCTTTACACTTGTGAAAATGTGTTTGACAAAATTCACCACTTGTGTGTTTCCCTTCCTGCAACATACTGAGAAATTCT